TATTTCCCAATCTAACTAAAATTTCTACCATACATCAACATCCGTCAAGCTCATTATGCCATGAAAGAACAATATATCTTAAAGGCCAGATTAAAGTTGTTTATTGCTAATGATATTTTTCAAACTAAATCATCCTTCTTTCAACCACCTTAAAATCTATCATCCTCAACCCTTCAGCAATCTCCCAAATCTCAATTTTTTTTATGCTTCTTGGGGATCTTATAGGTCGCCGATTCATGCAAAAAGAAATACACGTGTTTTTACTTTTGGGGTCGACTTATGGTACATTGTGTCAAACTTTGTCTACCCTGAAATTTGAGCTTGTGAGATGATCTCTTTGGTGTTTAGGATAAGAAAAGAGCATCTCTTTTGGGCTAGAATAGGATTTCCGAACGAGCAATTGTTGCTAATTTTGCCCTGGAACCTTTTTTTTTGAGCACATTGTTCAAACCTTGGAGATAGATAAACTTCGTTGGATAGCAATCATGTTTTAAGAAAAAAGTTTAACATTTTTGTTCACATTTCAAGGAAGAAATTAATGTTAAACCTATAAATGGAACTCGACAGGATGACAATAGTGAGAAATTATATTATAAGATCTTGAGTTCAAACTTCGGAAAAATGTTCGATTTAATTTTAAAGTTTGGCCCTCTAGTCAAATTCATCCCAAAGTAAAGGTGGTCAATTTCATCTCAATATTTAACACTTTGGTCAATTTCATCCTTTTGATCACAAATTAGTACTTTCCGACAAAAAAAATGGCTGATTTAATCCTAAAATTTGACACTCTAGCCGATTTCATTCCAAAGTATTTTAAGATAGTTAATTTCATCCTAATGTATAACACCCTGACCAATTTCATCATCCCGATCACAAATTAATATTTTCCGGCAATTGACATATATAGTCAACCGGCATATTTTTTTATTTTTTTTATTATTTTCAAACTTCAGGACTAAAATGGTTAGTTAATTAGAATGATTAATAAACTTAATTATTTTTTTATAAAATAGCAAAAAGAATCACGTGACATCGTTAATTAGTTTAATTACTTTTTAAAAAATAAGAAAAATATGTATTCTTTTCTTTGTGGATCTCGTATTGAACCCTTAAATAAATAACCTAAACTGCATTTAGTTTTTTTTTTTTGTTTTTAAATATTACTTCATTAGTTTAAACCTACCATTGACTAAACTTTTAAGCAATATATTTGCACAAAAATACAACCAAGTTTTCTCATTGTGTGTGCACCAAAATACAATCACTTGAGCAATATCTGCGCCAAAATACAACCAAACTATATGGTTATTTCGCAATGAAATGATTGTAACATTATAACATTCGACATAGTCATTAATTGCATAATTGTTTTTCGCTCCTTCGTTAAAACTAGTAGAATGTTATAATTCTATTATCATTTTTATTATAATGTTACATAATTGTCTTCAGTCAATGAAATGTTTAAACAGATGTAGTGATTAGGGGTGTGCATGGATTGGTTTAAACCGGTCAAACAAATCAATCCAGACCGTGGTTTGGGTTTTGGATTGTTTTCAAAGTTATATTTTGAAACCGGTGGTTTTAAATTTTGGAAACCGAAAAGAACAGTTTAGTTTACGATTTCATGTTCAAAATCCGTACATTAAACCAGATCAGACCGTTTAGTAATAACTACATATTTTAGAATTTCTACAAAAATATAGAAATGTATAATATTAATCACAACTTGTGACATAATAGACTTAATTAACTCAATATTATGTTTAATCATAACCCCCAATTTCGATTCCCTTAAATCTCTCTTTCTGGGTTGTTTTTCTACCCTTTTTTTTGTCTATATTTTTCTTTTGGATTTCAAAAGTTCATCCTGCATTCCGCCCCCCCCCCCCCTTTTTCCTCAATTATTTTGTTGCCTCTCAAAAGCTTTTCTGACATTTTTTTTTTTACTTTTTTGAAATTTTTTTTGTACTTTTGAAAGTTGAACCGTAACTATTTGAACTCGTGTTTCTTAATTCAAAGTTGTCGACGTTAATTTTTTGCACGTGTTGAACTGAAATTGGTAGAAAAAGTTATTTTTTTTTGTTACAAATTAAAAAAATCTTTTTTTTTTGTCACAGAAAAAAACGAAAGGCTTAAGTTTTGGCCTAAAAAATAAATTAAAAAAGGCCTTAAAGTAGGAGCGAAACCGAGAAACTGTAAAACTAAATCGTCGATTACGGATTGGTTTGGTCTGGTTTTCAAATGCGGAACGTTTTGGTTTTGGATTCAAAATTGTTCAAACCGTTCTAGTGGTTTGGTATACAGTTTAGACTAAAAACCGGACCACCCAGACCATGCACACCCCTAGTAGTGATACAAAAAATAAGGAAATAAAGGAGAAAAAATGTAGTTTAGGCTATTTATTTAAGGGTTCAATATGAGACCCACAAAGAAAAAACTATACATTTTTCATATTTTATTCGACAGTAATTAAATAAATTATTGATATTAAATAATTTTTTTCATTAAAAAATTAAATTTATTAATCATTCTAATTAACTGGTCGTTTTAGTCCTGAAGACTTATAAGAATAATAATAAAAAAAAACAGGTTAGTTGACTAATTAAGTCAATTGCTAGACTATTAATTTATGATCGGAAGGACAAAATTACCTAAAATATTAATGATTAAGATGAAATTGACTACTTTAAAGGGAATTGAATGATATGCTAGTGGTTAGGATATTGTACTTCATGATATTAAACTTGAGTTCAATTTCCATCAAGGGGTTTATAAGAAGGGTTTTACCCACATTTAAATAAGGTCGAGGGGTGGATTTTTTTTAAAAAAAAATACAAAATTGGCCATAGCAAACTTTTAGGATTAAATTGACTATTTTTCTGACAAAAAATACTATTTATAATCGGAAGGATGAAATTGGCCAGAGTTTGAGGCGTTGTTTGTCCAACCTCTTGTTTTACTTTTTGTCTTATTTTACCTCTTAAACACAAAACCCAATGCACTATCCAAATAACATTTTAGTTTACTCTTTAAAATGTTGCGTTTGGTCATTATACTATTGTAAAGTCTTCTTTTTGGTCATTGAATATTGTAAAGTATTTATTGTGTTTGGTCACTGAACTATTATAAAGTCTTGCTTTTGGTCATTACACTATTGTAAAGTCTTCATTTTGGTCATTGAACTATTTTAATTTCATAAATGATCACTATACTATAATATACTTTCCAAATCAAAAACTAAACTATATTTTAAATCTCCTCTCAAATCTAAATAAAAAACTAAAACAAAATGTTGTCTAAAACACCACCTTATACATTGGAATGAAATTGACCACCTTAAAATATTTTGAAATGCAATTAATTAGAGGGCCAAACTTTAGGATTAAATTGATTTTTTTTTCCCTATATAGTTCTCGTGACTTCATTTGCCATTGCTCATTGGAGAGTTTCGTCCAACGCCGAACTCTTAAGTATGAACTTCCTTAGACGAAAAGAAAGTAAAAGGGCAAAGGCCAAATTGCCAACTGCCCACCATAATGGGAGCAAATGGAAAAAGGAAGGTAGAGTTTTGATGTATTGATATGTGCTACTATCTTATCAAACTTATATGTACGAGTAGGACGTACGCGTGTGACTACAAAAACAATGAAACCTAACTACATTCATTTATGATTGATCGCCGTCGGAATGGGCTGAATCGGCATTTCTCCAAACCAAACGTCCCCCTTACATTCCAAAGAGAAAAGTCACAAAACTTAATAAAAGTCTAAATTTTTTTTTCCCTTCAGACAATTAATTTGAGTTCGCGATCAAAAGTGGAATATTGAAAGGCATGGAGTACAATTAATCTCCGCATGTGAAAGTGTCAACGCCAAACTACAAACGTCAATCTTTTAGGTGCTTTGTTCTTTTTCCCTCCTTTATCCAGAGCCTATATATATATAATTAATGTGCTGAACAAAATGCCCGTTTTCATACGAAGCAGACTTCTTGTTGTTGCACTATCGCAATTTGAGTCTTCTTTCTCAGGTGATAACGGAAGAGTCATGAAGCCTCTACGCAACATGTTTCGTTTATTTTCTCCTCATTCGTAAGCCCATAACTTATTTAGAACACTCAAATAGGTAAGCCCATAAGCTCTGATACCAACTCAAACAATTGAGTATATTGAAGTGAATGTAATGATACTGTTCAACAATATGACATATATGTAATACAAGAGAATCATATTCTAGAAAGTTTTAGATTATCAATTGAAGGGAACAAAGAAAAATTAGGTAGGCGTGAATATTGAACTGGGAATAACCGATTAAAAAGATCATCATGCAGTAATACAACAAGACCTTGAGTTCAGCTACTCTCTTCCTCATTTCAGTAATGACTTTGGAAACCAATAAACATAATACAAGATCAAGGGTTAAAGATCCATACTCCACCTTTCTATACCACTTCCTACAATATTATTGTAAATTTATGAGGTAATTTGAATGTGTCAATTAAGATTGCATGTCAGTATAAGTAGAGTTAAAAAATACTATTGAAAATACGTTCCAAAATAGAAACCTAGAGTTTAAACTCTATTTAAATACTTTTCATTTAAAACTTTAAATGAAAGCCTTGGTCGTTTTGTGATCAATTATTGGATTCAATGGCCTATCTTAGATCAAGTGGTGATACATGAGCAAGATGCGGTATTATACCATCCAGTTCCATCTATCCCAACAAGTATAATATTGTCTTTTGTTATATTTTAAGGCAAACGATGAGATTCATGTGTATATATATAATGATAATTAGATTTTGCAACAAAGTTTGTAAGAAATAATACAAAAGTGCCATGGTAATGGTATGGACTGTACAATAAAAATGCAAGTCTTGGGAGGCAGCTGTGATCAAAACTTATTAGGAGGGAATTTTGTCACTATTAACAAGTGGAAGGGCGACATTCATATTCTTAAAGTTTTGAGGATCAAAAATGCAATTTTTCTCCACACATAAAATAAGAGGGAAATGGTAGTGCCGAATTGCCAAACCCAAACCCGGATTAAGGTGCATAATTTGGCGTTGGCATCTCTGCCCAGTTACCAACCATGCAGGAGGAAGCGAGGTTTACTTTACCAATCTAGGCTAGGCCAACCCTTGTCGTAAAACGTTGATCTTTCATCTGGGTTTGGGTCATTCTCGTTGAAATCAATCTGATGGAGGACGATAAATACACCACAGAACTGAATGTGGCTGTGCGAGCGGTGCACATGGCTTGCTTACTCTGTCAAAAAGTACAAAAGGGATTGCTTTCCTCAACCTTTGTCGATCAATTTAAGTCTAAGGACGATAGCTCCCCGGTCACTGTTGCTGGTGAGTTGTTTTTATTAATTTTGAAAACATAAAATTCTCTTTCACAGTTTTCATTTTCGTTTTGGGTTTCATTTGGGTTCATGTTTAAGATATTTAATTTTATTAACATTCGTGCATTAATATCCTGCTCGATTTTTATTTGTTGATTGGTTGAACTTTCTCAACTTTAATCTATAGCTGCGTGGTGCCTTTTAATTTTTTTTTTTTTTTTTTTGGTGATTTGCATTTGCCTGGGAAGGACGTTTCACTTTTGATAATCAAATCAAACTAAAACGTTGTAGTTTTAGCAGATTGTAATAGATGATGATACTTGAGTTTGTTTGCTTAATTAATCCACCTTCCGTTCCGTTGATTACCATTGTCTTTAAGTTGGCATTTACAGTTGCTTGAGGTATAGTTCTTGGAGCAATAATCTGTTGACAGCTCTTTGTAGAAAGAAAAAGTGGGCGAATTGAGGCAGTTTGTGTGGTTAAATTAAGGTTTTGGGGGGTGTGAATTTGAACTTTCTATATATTTTTGGACTCCTGTGGCCCAAAGATCAAAAGAAAATTTTGCACTGTGGAAAGCGGTTGAACTTTATCTTACAGACTCGCAGATTATGGTTTTATAAGGACAGCTTTCTCAGATGAGAATGCCTCAAAAGATAGGAACAAATTTAGAAATTCGATTTTCCAGATTAGCAAGATTGGAGTCTGCTTTTTCTTAGAAATGTACTTGCTCTGTATCTTCGACGAGGGGCAAATAGGGGAGTAAAACCATTTGGAGTGCTGTCTGGCTTATTTATTTGGCTGTATGGTTTGAGCAGGACACTAATCATGTTCCTTGTGGCATGGACGATCTCAATTCCCAAGTTCGAATAGAGTAGAAGGGTGGTTTATTTTGGTCTTTGACTGCTTTATGAAATTTTGCCGCATTTCATAATGGTTTGATTTAGACTCCTGAACATGAGAATCCTTTTGTTCTCTGTATACTCAACAACAAAGTCATAATTTAGAGTTGACTGAAGATGTTTTGAGCTCTTATCATATCAGCAATGTTTCTTTGATCACTACTACTCGCATTTGCTTTAATTTTTTCCTCATTTCTTCTAGTGAGTTGTTTATCAATTGTATGAAACATTGAAGTTTCTCTTCCTACACTTGCTTGTTGGATGTGCCCTAATCCAAACTGCTTATATCTTTAGTTTAATTGTGACTGGAATTCTTTTTCTGCATCGTGGCTATCTTGACAGATTGGAGTGTGCAAGCAACAATAAGCTGGATTTTATCAGAAACATTTGGTTGTGATAACGTCTCCATTGTCGCCGAAGAAGATGTTCAAACTCTTTCAAAGCCTGAATCGGCAAATCTCTTGGAAGTGGTTGTTAAAACTGTTAATGAATGTTTGAACGAAGCACCAAGATTTGGTCTAAAGTGTCCTGCTCAAGCTCTTGGGTCGACCCAAATCCTCGAGGCAATTAGCAGGTGCAATTCAGCTGGTGGTCCCTTTGGTAAGCATTGGGTCCTTGACCCTGTTGATGGAACAGTAGGATTCTTGCGTGGTAGCCAGTATGCAGTTGCTCTTGCATTAATCAATAATTCAAAAGTTGTTATTGGAGTTCTTGGCTGCCCAAATTACCCAATAAAGAACGATTGGCTTGTTAAAAACCAGCCACCTTGTCAAGCCACACCAGAATTGTCTTTGACTAATCCTGGCATGTGGGAGGAAGGGTGTATCTTGTACACAAGAAGAGGCAGTGGTGAAGCTTGGATGCAGCCACTTCTTCATGGTAATAAAAAGCTCATTTGGCCTAATTCAGCAAAGTTGGTGCGAGTATCTTCTATTGAGGATCCAGAGCTGGCAACTTTCTGTGAGCCTGTAGAGCAAGCTAACACAAATCATGCCTTCACAGCTGGACTTGCTCATAATGTGGGGCTTAGGTTGTAATACTCTATCACTTGTTGTTAGTACAGAACTCAAACTTTGCTGTGTATTGAGTGTGGGTCTCATTTATCTTATTTGAACATTTAAGTAGGGTATTGGTTGGTTATACTTGGTTGATTGAAGTTTTGATGCATGATTATCATTTACTTTCAGTTTTATCTGTCGAGCATGTTTTATGTGAATTCAACTTCATAAAAGATGGAATCGTTCCCGTCTTTGCTGTTATGGACATTTTTCGCACTAGGTTTGTGTTTGCTGAAAGGTCCAATGGCTGAAAAGTCATCGCTATGGATGGTGACAACTTTTCATATCAGCTAGTTCATATATTACATTTAAACTTTGTTCTTCAACTCTTAGTTGGGGAAATGCAGTCTGTGCATGATTACCATTTTCTGCTTTCGTGCTTCAGCAGTGTTTTGAAGACTTAACTCTTTTCTTCTGACACAATATGGCAGAAAGAAGCCTCTTCGAGTTCACAGCATGGTGAAATATGCAGCTATAGCTCGGGGAGATGCTGAGATTTTTATGAAGTTCGCAAGGGCTGGGTACAAGGAGAAGATTTGGGATCATGCTGCTGGTGTACTCCTTGTACAAGAGGCTGGTGGTGTGGTAACTGATGCAGGAGGGCGAGCACTGGACTTTTCAAAGGGAATATACCTAGAGGGTCTTGACAGGGGTATCATAGCTTGCTGTGGAGCAAAGCTTCATGAAAAGATAATTGGCTCTGTTTATGCGAGTTGGGACTCATCTAATCTGTGAACCGTGTTGCATGTGATCTGCATTTCATCTAGGTTAACTTTGGACTGGTTAAATAGGTAAGTGAGATGGAAAGATACCTCCCCGTATTTCAAAGCTTGCACTGTTACAAATACTCGTTCCTCAGACTTTGTTCTATTGGCTGTATTTGGCAGGTCTACCAAGTCAAATGTGTATCTAGGAACACCCATCGACAGGAAGGCTTCACCTGGTTTGTCATCTCTTCTGAAAGTTCTTGAAAGGTTCTTTTCAGTGTTTCATTAGGAATTTAGCCTTTCTTATGAACTAGTCTATCTGTCCAGGGATACCTAGTGAACATGTTTGATTTAGAAATAGGTCTATCTATTACTTGAGGAGGCAATGATGGAGTTACCGAAAGAATAGATATCAACCTGGTTGCATGCATTTGTTCTCTTATTCTTACGATTTATTAAGTTCCTACACGAGTAAAAGTCCATACATTTTGGTCCCACTTTGTTTCTTTAGTAACTTAACTGATCCAGCATTTTAATGTTGAACATCCACATCTTTTGCAGGTGGGAAATGTTTATCTTTACATACTAGCTGATACAAGAGCCTGCAGTTTTACGAGGAGAAATTATATGTACCATTACATTTCACTAACTCTGCGACACAATTAGAATGTAGAGGGTACATGCCAGCTTTGGCAGTAGAACTGTGTTTTGCTATTTTTAGTTTCCAGTACCCAGCTTCATTCAAAATAACCCTTGTCAGTCATCATAGGCTATTATTCTTAATAAAAAGGTGAAAGTAGTATTGTAAACAGTTGACTTCATTGGCTTTATTACAATGGCCAAGTTGTGTTCTTTTTCTAATAGATTACGACTCTTCTTTTTAATTGGTTAAAGCTAAGAAAACTCTCTTTTATACTCCGTCCCACAAAAATAATTCAGTTTGATAAAAAAATCTTGTCTAAAAAAATAGTCCAATTTCTAAAAAGTCTAAATTAAATTCTATTAAATGACTAAAATAACCTTGTAACATTCCACCGTCAATTGATCTGTTACGCTCATTCTTCAAAGGAAAAGGCTTGCCACCGCCGCCGCCACAAACAACAGTAACTCCTTCAAGGCCTAATTGATCTGCTACGCTCATTCTTCCAAGAATTAATTTTTTTTTTCTAGTTAAGTATAAACCCAAAGAAATGGAAACAAAAAAAATAAATAAAAGAAAAGAAAAATAATATGGCTTCCGACGACGGAAGACCCGTCGGGAGGAAGCTGATGATGATGTTAACGAAATACTTCCAGTTATTCAACATCGATTTACCTCTTACAATGAAGGTAAAATAAATATAGTTTAATTTCTGAACTAATTTAGTGTGGCAATTTTATTCATCTTCAATAATTGACTGTAGTCTGAATTGGATGGCTGTAATAATAATTTGTTCTCCGACAAGGAAGAGAAAATATTTCAGCGTTGAGATTTGGATGATCGAGAATGAAGACAGGGATAAAAGTGAAAGTTGAGAGTATAAAATGAGTTGTACTTTGATGAATTAACTAAAATAAAAAGAGTTGTACATTTTGAAATTAGATTATTTTTGTGGGACGGAGGAGTATATGTACAGTGCTTTCATTGCGACATGCAAAAGACTGATTCCATCCTTTTTCAAAGAAACCGAAATGGTCAAAGGGCCTCTAAATTCTTTATTGCTACTGGGCCTAATGCCCATTGAAGAGTGTGGGCTAAATGTGAAAGTTGAAATGGGATCCCTCCCGCCTTTGACGTATTCTAAACAGGTGACGGTGGCAGCCCAGAAAGGAAAAGTATCGGCTCCCCCTCTTCGGTCTTTTCTTCGCCCAATTCTCCGGCGAACTTTACTGAGATGATGGCTACGTTGTTGGGTCTTCTTCATCATAAATTAAAACTGCACCATTTGTACCTTCACCGGAAATTAAACTTTCCCAAGGAATTTTTTTTAAAAAAAAAAGAATTAAAGAATAGATTAGGTAACCAACTGACCTTGTTTGACTAATTTTTAGTATTTAGAAGGAATTATGCATAAATTATAATGATAATTATGATCTAAGGAATCTAGATTTGGACCGTTCTTTAATTTCTTCAATCAATTATTAGAAGGCAAAGCAAAAGCAGTTTTCTGGGTGATTTTTAAATTAATTGCATTCATCATTAAGTCAACGAATGGGTCCTCTATTCTGTTTCTTTAGGCGACGGTTTTACGTGGTGGCGGAATCTACCTCGTAGTCATAACGTTCATACTAGAAGACTAGGAAAGTAGGAACTATTCCATTCAGTGGAATAGTCTTTGACTCTTGCGACTTGATTAAACACATAAACTTCCATTGCATTATTTCTGTAACTCGATAATTATTTTAAGACGAAATAATGTACTTGATCCAAAAAAAAGAAAAAAGAAAACTAAGGGCATAAAACATATTTCTTCTACCTTAAAAATTAATTTTATTTGTAATATTTTGTTTTAGTTTAAACATTTTGGATTCATGGATGAAATGGAAGCGGCAAAAATGGCAAAATAATTAGGCAGTCGCCCACTTATGAAAAGATTTTTTGGATGGAATTGGCCAATACCTGATCCAGGCAGCTGGAATTGTGTCGTGATCGAATCGGACACATATCTTCAGCTAATTTTTGCATCGTCAGTGTTATGACTTTTGCTACATTTCGGACCATTTTTTCTTTCCTAGTACAACATCAACCACAACTATCTAGTGAGTCGATTCGTTGGAAAAGATAATCCAGCAACATGAAATATTGTGAAAAAAAAAAACCATCAACTATAATCTGTTCGCATTTAATTATTTGAAGATGGCTTCACACATAAAATCAAGCTATATGAATTTGTTTTTTACAAGCACGATACTAGAAGATGCATGTTACACTAAGCAAAACTTTTATTTTAAACTAATTAATATACTACTGTTCTTGTCTTTTTATTTTCAGTACAATTTGTACGAAAAGTGATGTTCCGAATAGGAGAGTAAAAGTATAATTCTCTTATTCTAATATTAACTATTTTTTTTAATGAAAGAAATAGTAATTTTATGGATGCTGCAAAGAGAATAAATTTATGCCACGCTCGTAAAATAGTAACTTCTAAATTTTTTCAAAGGTGAAATTCTGAAAAGTTTATTCTCCTTGTCCCTCGCTCAATTTAAGTAGTAGTACATATTTAGACAGAATCTTAATATCTAGTTTCCGCAAATTCTTGAGGGTTTTCATCATCAACTAATATGTGGGCATGTCTTAATTTCATATACATAATTGATTTAATATGGTCCTTTGTATTTAAATTTGTTTGATTCCTCTGTACCTTCATTAATTGCTGCATGTACAGGGTGAACTTCACTCTGCTTTTTATTATATATATAGGGGGGAAACAATAATGCATTGCGAATTTGCGATCAACTTCACACGTTATTTTTTGACGTAAATTTTGTTTGATTCTTATGTTGTTTTTCTGGGGAAGGGATGCCAAATGTTGACGTTTTAGAAATCTTTGAAGTACTACATATATACTGATATATACATTCATCTCCGTCTTGGCGTCAAAGTTTACAAATGCTTAAGTGTGTATTGCTTATTAATGTGTCTTACTCGCTAACTTTTCATCTTTCTCGCACCTTCGTCAACCAAAAAACAATAAACTGCATTCCTTAAAAGCATTGATTTATTTAATTTTCTTTTAAAAAGGTAATTACATGTATTTTTTTTTTAATTTTTAAAATGGCCCCTATGACACCTTTCCACCAGCTTTGTAAAAAGTGTTTTCATATTGATCTTTACTTTACACATTTACCTAAATCTTGCATAAAGTAAATCAGAGAAAAATCATCTAAATCTTTTGTTGTGAAGAGAAATAAAGAGAGAGTGCCGATCGATTTATTTTCATCACTTCAAATAATGAATGTTTTTCAACAAGTTTATTTGAAGGTGATAGAAATTCGATCGAATATTAATCTTATAGTACTATCAATTTTAAACTAGCAATGACAAGAAATTTATTTTTTTTAAAAAAAATAGTTAAATGATGTAAGAAAATACTACGTAATTTCTTGAGTTATCCAGTGAAGCTACTTGTACCGGAGCTCTCTTATACGTACTGGACCAGTTCTTTGGTAAGGATACGGCGTTTGCCACCGTCAAATTTTGCCACACCGGTCTCCTACGTCAGTCGTCAGATCGGTGTTACCGCGTTATTCCACCGGTTGGCGTCCATTAAAAAAAATAAATAAATTCTTTTGTTTTATATTTAGATGGATTTTTCAACTACAAATCTTTACTTTACTTGCTTTGCTAGGAGCAAGAGAATAACAATTTCTTTTACATCTCAAGATTGCCCCCGGTCAGAAGGCGATTGTCGGCAGGCCTCGTTCACTTTGCGAAGGGTATAACTGTACTTTAATGGTGTAATCGCGTTGACAAAAGATGACATGTTGACAAAGTATTTCAAAGAATCCGTAAATAAATAACAATATCCAAGAAAACCAATTTTGAAAACGAAAAAGAAAGTAGTCACTCTAATAATTTTCGAAAAGCTCATTCATTTGGGTTTAAGGCTGTATTTGGATTCCGTTTACATTTTCATGGGTAAAGTATGGCACCTTTCTTCAATTCGATATCTAAAAGAGGAACTTTGAAATGTAGTTGTGTAAACCCAACTGTTCAATCACTAATTTAAATTAATATTTTTTTTACTTGTATAAAAATTGTGGCAAAAATATTGTAGCAAGATAGGAATATATATATAGTTCTCGGATATCGCTATTATGATGTCATTTTCGTTGCTTCCTGTTGACCAAGCAGCTCCTTAATTGCCGCTTGCTGCCTAACTCAACTCTTTGGTCTAGTCCTTTAACAAAAGATCAACGAATAGGGGATTTCATGCTTAGTATTTTTAGTTATCTGATATTGAAAGTTAAAACATTGATTATTTAATTGAAGGAATAGAACATATAACTAGCAAATGAATAGTGATGTACTATACCATACTACATATGAATTTGTATTCATTTTTAAGGTTGTTTAATTAACTTAATTAAATTGTTTAACTTGATCAGCCCATCTATTCCACGGAATATAGTTTCCATAATAAATTGTAAATTGTACTAAATTTATATTTATAATATGATTATTTTTTTAGGACGAGGCTGTATCCAGTATACCCGGGGGCACCGTGCCTCCCTCCTATTTTTTGCACGAGTAGTCCTTATTGTATTTTTCATCAATCTTTCTATATTTTACAAGTATAGTCCCTGTCATTGTTTCTCTCTCTTCTAAAAAAAAACATCTCTAATCTTTCAATGACCATATCTCATAATCCGTAAAGAATTAGAGAACGTGTTATGCATGAAAATTATAGTACTCGTCGAGATCTATTCAACAAGATCCATTTCGAATATTTTTTTTGAGTTTAAAAATGATCAAATTTCTTTGGGTAGAATAAGTTGGATATCCGGTAAGTTGGATAACCAGTGTGCACGAGTTGGATAACCAGTATGAACACAGTGGATAACCAGTTCAAACAATTTGGATAACCATGTAAATCCATTGGATAACCAGCATTAGCGCATTGGATAATCCAATACAAACCAATGATTGGATAACCAATACAAACGAGTTGGATAACCAATTTAGTTTATTATTTTTTAAAAAAATAATAAAAAAAACCAGGTTGGATAAATAATACTAATTAGTTAGATAAACAGTATTAACATAAATAATCAAGATGGATAACCAACTTATTTTACATTCATATTATTCTTTTCCTTGTATCTAATGATTCGTAAAGAATTATAACACGAATTATATATGAAATTTATAGTACTCGACGAGATCTATCCAATAAGATCCATGCTGAATATTTTTTTTGAACTTTAAATGCATTTAAACTTTACGGGCAGAAAATGAAGAAATGTGTTTTTCGTTTTTCTTTGAAAAATGGTTATCCAATCGGTTTGGACTGATTATCCATTCTGTTCGTACTTGTTATCCAATCATATGTTTGACATTCACTCTTCAAAAAAAAAAAAAAAGATGGATATCCACCTCTATTCTATTCTGCCCGTCAGAAATTAAGTCATTTTTAAGCCCGAAAAAATGTTCACTGTGGATTTCGTTGGATAGATCTCGACGAGTACAATCAATTTCATATATAATTCGTTCACAAATTCTTCACGGATTGGGAGATATGCTCGTTGAAAGATTAGAGTTGGATATGCATGCAAACCAAATGGATGGATATCCAGTACAAATAAGTTGGATAACCAACATGAACACAGTGGATAACCAGTTTAAAATGATGGATAACCAACTTATTTTACATTCATATTATTCTTTTCCTTGTATCTTTTGATCCGTAAAGAATTATAACACAAATTATATATGAAATTTATTGTACTCGACGAGATCTATCCGATAAGATCCATGTTGAATATTTTTTTTGAACTTTAAATGTATTTAAATTTTATGGGCAGAAAATGAAGAAATGCGTTTTTCGTTTTACTTTGAAAAATGGTTATCCAATCGGTTTGGACTGATTATCCATTATGTTCGTACTTGTTATCCAATCATATGTTTGACAATCACTCTTCAAAAAAAAAAAAGATGGATATCCACCTCTATTCTATTCTGCCCGTCAGAATTGAGTCATTTTTAAGCCCGAAAAAATGTTCACTGTGGATTTCGTTGGATAGATCTCGACGAGTACAATCAATTTCATATATAATTCGTTCACAAATTCTTCACGGATTGGGAGATATGCTCGTTGAAAGATTAGAGTTGGATATGCATGCAAACCAAATGGATGGATATCCAGTACAAATAAGTTGGATAACCAACATGAACACAGTGGATAACCAGTTTAAAATGATGGATAACCAACTTATTTTACATTCATATTATTCTTTTCCTTGTATCTTTTGATCCGTAAAGAATTATAACACGAATTATACATGAAATTTATAGTGCTCGACGAGATCTATCTGATAAGATCGATGTTGAATATTTTTTTGAACTTTAAATGCATTTAAACTTTACGGGCAGAAATTAAAGAAATGTGTTTTTCGTTTTTCTTTGAAAAATGGTTATCCGTTGTGTTCATGCTGATTATCCAACCGGTTTGGAGTGATTATCCATTCTGTTCGTACTTGTTATCCAATCATATGTTTGACAATCACTCTTCAAAAAAAAAAAGATGGATATCCACCTCTATTCTATTCTGTCCGTCAGAATTAAGTCATTTTTAAGCCCGAAAAAATATTTACTGTGGATTTCGTTGGATAGATCTCGACGAGTACTATAAATTTTATATATAATTCGTTCACAAATTCTTCACGGATTGGGAGATATGCTCGTTGAAAGATTAGAGTTGGATATGCATGAACACAGTGGATATCCAGTACAAACAAGTTGGATAATCAACATGAACACAGTGGATAACCATTACAAATAATTTGGATAAGCATGTAAGTCCATTGGATAACCAGTTTAAGAAGATGGATAACCAACTTATTTTGAATTAAGAAGTTGGATAACCAAATGGATAAGCAGTAGAAACAAAATGGATAACCAGTTCAAACCGATTGAATAATCAGCATGAACACGATGGATAACCAATTTAGAACAAGTTGGTTATCCATCTTGTAAAACTGGATATCCACCCCTATTCTGTCCATCAGAATTAAGTGATTTTTAAGCCCGAAAAAATATTCACTATGGATTTTGTTGGATAGATCTCGACGAGTACTATAAATTTCATATATAATTTGTTCACAAATTCTTCACGGATTGGGAGATATGCTCGTTTAAAGATTAGGGATGCTTTTTTGGAAGAGAGAGAAAAAACTCACAGGGACTAAACGTGTAAAATATAAAAAGATTGAGAAAAAAGTACAATAAGGACTAAAAATGTAAAAAATAGGAGGGGGGCACGGTGCCCCCGGGTATACTGGATAATTTGCCTTTTAGGACGGAACGAGTATAACTCTTGTAATAAGTAAAACATCAACAACTTATGACTTTATCAAACTTCTGTTCCGAAATAAAGTATTTTTAAAGATAATTTTGACGTAACAAAAATAAAATTTTGGAACTACACACAATTGTATTTTTTTTTCTGAAGGGTACACTTGATAACAATGCAAAACCTACTTCATAGTATAATTTTTTTTTTCCTATTGGTTTGCAGATAAAATTTCGCATTCAATCTTTCTTAAACCTTGGACGGTTCTATGAATAATTTGGCTCGGGCAAACAACTGAACAAGTATAGTAAGCCAGTAGTTTTACCTGGTCTACAAGTGAAATTTTCAAGTGGAGGGACCTCAATTTGTCTATTTTTGACAAATTATTGCAAAATTATTTTTATTTTTTTTAATTGCGACTCTCATTAAAAGCAAGAAGAACTGGTGTTTTACAACCCCATTGCCAAATGACCTCATTTGAAGATCTGATCAAACTGAATTTTTCGTCATCTTAACATTTTTTTTTTAATTTCTTAGGTTTCCATTTCTTGAAAGTTAAGGCCACTAGTTCATTCGTTAGCAAGCGTCACCGGTATCCATTTCTTTCAGTTTCAGCTCTAATTGTTCGTTGAAACAGCATTTGTCAACTGCTCCACACACACAAAATAATAATAATAATAATAATAATAATAATAATAATAATAATAAATCAAATGATTACTATTGAAAATTGATGCAATTAAAGGAAACCATTGGTTTAGAATGCAAAACAAGGGATTACAAAAAAGGAAACAATTGACCTAGTTTGGATAAGATTCCTTGCAATAAGTGGCATGGTATTTAATTAAGTTTAACACACCTTTTGAATTCATGCCAAAATAAATATGCAGAATTCTATAGAATTTGTTTGGTATTTTTTATAGTCAACGAAATAGAAAGGAGATTACCAGAGGAAGAAGAGGTCGAGACTTTTGCAAAATATAAAAAGAGTTTACAAATTGATTAACACGAAATTTATCAATTTCGTGATTGGCCATATTTGATTAATTTTTTGTTTGGTAGTAGTATTCCTTCGTGATTAATCTATTTATATCAAAAAGATTTTTTTTAAAAAAAAAAAATCAGTCAAAATCAATCATAGAAGCAACAGAGAGGCATTCAGACAACCGAAACGGAAAAAAGCAAAAAGAAGAAAAGGAAGAGAAATAGAAAAAGGTGTGAGGATGAATAACACTATGATATACTCCTTCCATTCCAATTCAATAATCCCATTTTGACATACACAAAAATTAAGAAAAAGTGGATAATATAGTTTATGTAGTTAATTTTAAATAAAATTCCTACCACACCCTCATTAATGAGTTATTAGTTGATATGAGAGAGTAATAGTTGAAATTAATTAAATGTTCTTGATTTCAGTAAAAGTGGGAAGGGTATATTAGAAAGTCTATAGAAAAAGTTGATTAATTGTCTGAAATAGGACTAAGTTTTGAAACATTCTAAAAGGGGAAGTGAGCCTATTGAAATAGAATGGAGGGAGTACAAGTTAATGAATCATCACAGAAGAATAAACACAGGTTTTATACTAATTTTTTAAAAATAATGTTGAGACATAACTCTTACAATTGTTACATACAGTGTTATTAGTTCCACTAAAACTAAACAAAGCTAAACTCTCAGAATACATTTCTACAATAAGTAATTTCTGCAAAATTACGTGTTGATGACAAATTATATTACCAAAAGGGCAAAAAAAAAAAGCCCCGGTACTTTTCCTTAAAATTTAAACTTTCAAAAAACTTGAGAGAAGCAGGAGAAAGAAAAATCCATCAAATTGGCCAATCGTTGTCAAATGTCAAATAGTTTGCATTACCTCACTCCACTCCCTGAAAAAAAAAAGCTTTTCAAAAAAGGAAAGCAGCGTTCACTCTTTATCATTCTAGTGTGTGACTATGTGTGAGAAGTAGTACTAGTCCTACTAATAATGCTTAAAAGCTAGTAATTCCTTTGCTTTCCTCTCTGTCTTACTACTTTCGACTCTACGGCTTCCCTATAATTTACACTTAATTCCTCTCTCCCATCTTTCATAAATCCAAAAACCGACAAACCACAACGCGTGGAATTGGTGAAGTTTTATTTATTTAAAAAAGGAAGTTAATTTCATTAGTTCATTGATTCATTCATCTTCTTCAACCAACGGGAGAGAATCAGCCAAATTTGCCTTCTTTTGTTTTCAACCCATATTATAAAAGCACCCCTTCTATGAATGGTGTACTTTTATTATAAGTCAAGTTTTTCATACTTCTCTCATACTGCCTTACAGCTTCTCCTGCTCTGCTCTATTAAGTCTTTTCATTATTATTTGTGGGATGAACAGCAAGTTCAATTAATCAAAAGCTGCTGCTGCCATAGATAAGGGGTGTTAAGTGTAACTCTACAGTTTTTGATGAACAGAAGGGTAGTAGTAGAGTGGGGGTGGTGGGGTTGCTTATAGGACAAACTGCTCTGCAAAAAGGGGCTCTGAAAATTTTGCCATTCTTCTTCTCTCATTCCTATCTAGGTAAATAGGAGCTGTACTTCAACCCCAGTGTCATCAATATATTTCCTTGTTGGGATCACCAAATATTTATTCTCTCTGCATTTCAATCAAACTTGAAACTATACAAAAACAGATCTGATTGATTGCTTGTTGGGCTGCTTCTGCTTGCTGGTTGCTGCTCTGTTGTTTCATTTCATCAAGGCCCCCCATAGCATTTACTTCGTGAGTTTAAAGTTTCCATCTTTGTCCTTCCCTACTTTACTTTTGGAAGTTCAAGAAATGTACTGGTTTTTCAGGTCCTAAAACTGGCCCTCTGGTTTTAATGAATCAAGTTTCAATTTTTTTTTTTGGAACTTTTCTCCAACTGGGCTCATTTCAAATTGGCCAAAACAAAAGTCGTTTTTGCCATTTTCCCTTTTGGAGGGAATACTTCATCTCCTCTGCAATTGCTTAACTAGTTGAGTGGATTGTGTTCATACTTGGTTGTCTTTCCTGCAGATTCTAATACCAAATTAACAAATTGTTGAGCTGGGTATCTGCAATATTATCGGCAAAACAGAAATGGCTAATCAGACTTCCATTTAAGTGGTAAGTTTCTGAGAGATTGTCAAAGCAATCCCAGTACAATAAACTTCTATTCTTAGCGTTCCATCTCAATTGGTTTAACTTTTCACCCAAAAATAGTAACACTTGCAATATCACCGGATTGCAGATTCGATCAGGAAATCAAACACAACTTTTAGTCAGTATTGTTGGATTATCAGCAAAAACTACAGGAATCCAAAAAAGAGATTTGGGTTCATAAAATGGGCAAAACAGGAAGAGATTGGACACAGATCTACGCGATCTACGGGATGGAGGACTGGCACACACCATTTTTCCTGCTAATCCACGCCGTATTCTTCTCGGCACTCTCTGTTTTCTTCCTCCTTTACTTCGAGCCCATATGTTACTTCACTCAGCATTTTATCCCCGTCATCGGGCCGAGCTTGGCCCGATTCCTAGCTGGCTTCATGGGCTCAGTAACCGCCTTATCCGCCGTCTGCCTCTTCTTCGCCGCCGCCAACTTCTTCTACTCCTCTGTTTCGCTCCACTGGGAAATGTCCCAGCGCATCGTGAACGCCGTCTCCGACTGGTCGACGGTGAAGACGGCCCTCGACCTGGGGTGCGGCCGGGGAATCCTGCTCAACGCGGTGGCCATGCAGCTGAAGAAGTCGGGTTCGTCGGGTCGGGTTGTGGGTCTGGATCCGAACCGGACCCGGAAGGAGGGCTTGTCGACGACGCTGAGGACGGCGGGGATGGAAGGGGTGCAGGAGTACGTCACGTGCAGGGCAGGTGACCCGAGGACGCTTCCGTTCAGCGACAACTATTTCGACGTGGTGGTATCCTCTGTGTTCGTCCATACGGTGGGGAAGGAGTTCGGGACCAGATCGGCGGCGGCGGCGGCGGAGAGGATGAGGGTGCTGGGGGAGGTGGTGAGGGTGTTGAAGCCCGGTGGGGCCGGGGTGGTGTGGGACCTGGTGCACGTGCCGGAGTACGTACAGAGGTTGCAGGAGTTGAAGATGGAGGATATCCGGGTTTCGGAACGGGTTACGGCGTTTATGGTCAGCAGCCACATCGTGTCGTTCAAGAAGCCCAATCATCATTTCGTTGGGTCTAATGAAGTTAGGCTGGATTGGAGATTCAACAATCTTTGTTGATGATATTGATTTGTTAATTACTACCAACTTTTTTTTTTCCTTGTTTTTGATAAGGAAAAAAAAAATACATTACTATATATGATATAAGATATGTAAAAGAAAAAAAGGAAATCATGAAGACCGCAAGGCAAAATGGAAAGTTCAAGTTACAAAATATACAGTGTGTTTTTTTATTTTGTCGATTTTAATTTAGAAAGTTAGTTTGGTAGTGAACAAGAATCAGGGTGAACAAAGTTGGCACCAGATTCTTTGCATGATATTTACTTATTTAGTGTTTGAATGAGAATATTTGGTGCGCTTTGTATAAAGTTGATGAAGATCATGAGAGGATATTAATAAGTGATTGAGTTACTATATCTTATGATATTCTCACGTTTCATTTTTTTTTTCTTTTTCACATCAAAGGTGTATAATATCCTGTGCAAAATCATAAAGATCTTGTCCGAAGAATGTTACTATTAAACATACTACAAAGAATAGAGAATCGAATGATGTAACTAGAGCCACTTTCACTCAAGTTATTGAGAATTAAACTCTTGATATTGTGGGAAGGATTCAACTCCTGCTACCCATTAGGCAAAATTATAGTACAAGTTTTTAAGACACTATCATCAACTTTGTAATAGACAAATGAGTCAATAACATGGATTATCTACAATGAAATTACGGCAGTTTTCTTAATTAAATTAAATGGTGGAACTTGTAAAGTGTTATTGACGAAAAGAAATATTCAACTTTTATCTTTATTATATATATATTATAATTATAATAAAAGTATTAATTAACGTTAATAATTTCAATTCGATTAAGTGATTTGTTAGTAATATAGACGGACGAGAATGGCGATATAACATGGGAAATGAAGTTTGGTCAGGGAGATGGTTGTGAGGTCAGCATCGTAACGGTTTGATTGGGGCAAATGGAAGCTACGGAAAATAGGAGATGGAGGGAGGAAACTGAGTGAACAAGACGGGTGACTGATGGAACATTAATTGTCGATTGGCCTTCTTTGGCCCCCTAATTTAGAAGGGTATCTGCCATGTGAGGCGGGAGTCACGCTTAAAAATACTTGTTTATGCTACTTGGTTTTCGGTTTTCCACTTATGTTTTCTTTTTTATCAGTCAAATCGCTAACATATGTAGTCCATAATAGTATTTGGCAAAATCACTTCTTAGAGAACGGAGTTAGACCCCGAAACTTTAAAATGTGAAACCCAAATGTAAAATAGTTGAGTGGAAGGAATTCATTAATTTTATTTTAATTCTGTATGTGTTTGAAAAGAATAATTTTTCTTACTATAAAATTTTGTGTTACAATTTAAGCATCTTTTAGTTGATTATTAGAATCGATTTGTTGTTGAACAATCTAAAACAAAAATCTTTTTATAAAATAATTTTAAACATTAAATGGTGTTATCAGACGTGAAACAATTGGGAACATTTTTCTTCTTGTCCTACTTATCAAAAGTTCTAGTATTATTTGGTAAAGGCATCAATCATTGTTGTAAATGCTAAATATATTGGTACAGAAAAAAAGCGTTTAAATGACAAAACAAAAACCTAGTGAGAGAGGGGAGTGCTTGCAGATACTAGTAACTCTTTTATTAAATTGTAGTAGTACACCATTAAATGCTAGATTCCGCGCCCATTTTTGCTGCTACATTTGCGTTATCACTTTGTGAGAGGAGGAAGGACAAGTATTTAGTGTTCCAAAAGGCACAAATTTAGTCTATGGAATTTTGGACATAGAGAATCAAGTTCTGGTGGTTGTAGTAGTAGTAGTACTCCATTACTAGTGTGGATGCGCAACCGTCATTTTTGTGTGTGCACATCATTAGAGAATCCATATATACTAACGGAATTCGCGGTGGGAAATTAATGATACTTATGACTTGTTTAAGAAAAATCAATGGCTTAATAGTAATTTGTTAGAGTTTGACCTAATTGAGTAGAGTAGGTTTCTTTGATTTTGATTAACTTACGTTGGAACTATACGTGAGACGTGAGACTATGGTCGTTGTCCTGTCGGCATCCCCAAAATATACTCACCCCCATTTCTTTTTCCCAAGTTTCCACGGCGAATTAATGTAGCCATCACAGATAATCTTCTTTAAGATTTTTTTTTTAAAAGGCAAATGAAATCCTTCCACTTGCTGTTAAAGGACGATTAATTTTCTGCACCCTTTTTCATGTAGTAGTAGTACTGTATTGGATCATTTGTCAAATTAAGGATTAATTGTTGGTCCATGATATTGTTTTCTCTGTCGAGTAGTATCGCGTCGAGATCCTCAACTACTTTGAAGAAAGAGCAATGTACTTAATGAAGCGGAATTGCGACGTTAAGTTGTGTGTCTGGTCTTGACAGAGAGTAAAATTGTTATTTGAATTGAAGACATTAGTATAAGTGAACTAATTTTGTTCTCGATCATAGATGTGAAATTCGCAACATGGAGATATTTTGCTATGAAGTTTAGGACCAAATTTGCCAAAAGAGAGAGAAAAAAAAAACAATTTTTTTTATTTGAATTGAAATATCTTTAGAGTTTAATTGCAACAAGTGGTAGCTTCCAGTTGAATTAAGGGACTTCCTTAACATGGCTAGATTAATGCATTGTGAGCTTGAAACAAATAAATGTCTTTTAATACTACGTGAGCATTAAATTGTTTGCTTTTAATTTTTCTCATTCCCCTATATTCTTTACTTCAGTTACATTAACTCAAACATGCATATTTATGTGAAATGACATTACCGAACGCAAAAAAAAAAAAAAAAGAAAAACAAGAAGAAAAATGGTGATCCCTTTAGTTTTCATCATTTCATTTGCATTTGCAGTGTGCTCTTCTCCTTGTTTTTCCTTGGCATTCTCTCACGAAGAACTATTGCTGAAATCGCTTCACGGACCAATTGGAAATTTTGAAGCATGCCTTTCTTCTGAGTCTTACCCATACACAAAAATTGAAAACATTACCCACAAATTTTGGTCGGAATCATATTCCAAGTTGCTTGTCTCAAGCATAAGAAATTTACGTTTCAATTCCACTAAAACACCAAAGCCTTACTTAATCATCACCCCAGAAAATCCAAATCAGGTTAGTGCCACAGTTATTTGTGCAAAAAGGTATAATTTGGAGATTCGGATTTTGGGTGCGGGCCACGATTATGAAGGCCTCTCGTTTGTGTCCCCTTTACCATTTGTTGTGTTAGACACAATAAGGTTTCGCAAATTCAAGTTGGATTTGAAAAGGAAGACGGCTTGGGTTGGTGCCGGGTTGACTTTAGGCGAGCTTTACTACAAAATCGCCAATGAGAGTTTGACACATGCTTTCCCGGCCGGGGTTTGCCCGACGGTCGGTTTAGGAGGCCACATTAGCGGCGGTGGTCAAGGTATGATGATGAGGAATTTTGGATTAGCGACGGACAATGTGCTGGACGCTAGAATCGTGGATGCCGAGGGGCGAATTTTGAACCGCTCCACGATGGGCGAGGACCTTTTTTGGGCGATCCGAGGAGGCGGGGCCGCGAGTTTTGCCGTCATACTCGAATGGAAGCTCCGGATCGTCGAAGTCCCGCCCGTGGTGACCGCATTTGCGGTGGAAAAGCCGCGTGAGCACAGTGCGGCTCGGCTCGTCTTCCGGTGGCAAGAGAACATAAACGTGTTGCCTAATAACATCATGATACGTATCGTGATGTTTAGGACGAATAATAAATCGGACGGCGAGCCAAACATGTCCGTTGGATTTCATGGACTATACCTCGGACCCGCACAAGAGCTTTTGAATTTATTAGAGAGGGATTTTCCCGAACTAGAGGTGAGGCGCAAGCATTGTACGGAGATGAGCTGGATTAATACAACATTGTATTTCGATTTCGACGAGGGACACGAAAGCTTGGAAGACTTATTGGATAGGCAGCATTATGCTAGCAAACATTACAAGGCCAAATCGGATTATGTCACATTGCCAATCCCCGAAGATGAATGGGAAGGAATATTTGACACATTTGTACAAGGTAAAGCACAAAAATCAGGGTCGCTTCTCTTACAACCTTATGGTGGCAAATTGAGCGAAATCGCGACGGATGCGACACCGTTTCCTCATCGTGCCGGGACTTTATACATTATTCATTATCATGTATTTTGGCGTATCGAAGATGATCCGACCATCAATGATAAAGTGGACTGGCTTTACAAGATGTATGATTATATGACGGATTTCGTCGAAAAACCTAGGACTGGGTACCAGAATTACAGGGATTTGGACTTAGGGAAGAATGAATACGTTGACGATACTTATGGAGAAGCCACTAGCTGGGGACGCGCGTATTTCAAAGACAATTTCAAGAGGTTGGCGCAAATAAAGCATCGGGTTGATCCGGATAATTTTTTCAGGCATGAACAAAGTATTCCTCCGCTTCGGGAGTTATATGCATTAGGTTAATCAAACAAATTAAAATGATATTTTTCACACTGTGATCTTGTTTTGAGTTTCGCGTTGCGGCTCAATTTTTTTAAACCAAAAACAGGTAGAAAATTAAATGGAAATTTGAGTTAAAGCACGGAACAAAAAGAAACAACAGAATAAACTTATAAACAGATGTTTATGTCTATATATCAATATGATATACTCACATAATGCATTGGGGAGAAGTAGCAGATAGACAACCTTCACAAATTTTAGTTTTTTTTTTTTTTTCTGTTCCTCAATATTAAAAAAAAAAATCATGTTTGCCTAGAAAACACTATTGTATAGTAACTTCTGTTTTGCGACTCAGAGATGAAGTGTACAAGCCAATATAGCAACTTTTTCCTTTATGATATATTCTCGATTTATTAGTAGCTAGTTTTAATTTAATATTCTCTCACTATGAATGTAAACTTTACAAAATTTAAGAAATAATGTACTCGATAGTCAATTAACACCCATACATACGACAAGAATGATTTCTTCTTATATATTTTACTCTTCCATACTCCAATAGATAAAACTTAAAAGAAACATAAGCATTGACATTTTCCAGTTCCATGTGTACCAGTAAGGTTACAAAACAGAAACAGCAACAACTAAAAAAATCAATAATTTTTATTAATTCTGCGGAATCAGAACCCCATGAATCTGATCTGCAGACAGAATCTTTCCTTCTGTTTACTGATCATGTACTCTTTTATGATAAGGCTGTTAAATCTAATGGGTCCGTTCCCCCCACCTGTACTTTTCTTATTCCCTCTTAATTAATTACAACTGGTTTTTTTGGGATGCTTGAAATGCACTTAATTGTCGGGAAACAGGTGCTGCATGGATCTAATAACCCTTTGGTCCTACATTTAAAAAAGAAAATGAAAGAAGAGTTGTGATTAAAGAACACAAGAGTTGCATGATTATGCTCTAGGGGTATCTATGATAAAGATGAACTAATTAATTAGTTTCTGATGTTTTTTTAACGTTGTTTAATTTTTTTTACTTGACCAAGTAGTAGAAGTAGTACCATTTACTCTGGAAACATAATTACAAACACTTGTGTAGTCGCCCCCACTTGTGTGTTGTGTGTAGCATGCTCTAGTGCTCGAAAAGATCTAGTATGAAATAATAATTGGAAGTGCCTTTTTTTTTTTTTTTTGGGTTGAGGTACTTATTGTCGGAACAAGGTGACACATCTAAATCAAGATCTAACTCGATTAAACTATTAACGCCATTTGGGGCAACGAAGAAGAAGAACAAGAAGAAGAAAATTAAGCGGAGAATGACCTTAGAATGTCATGTCCAAGGTCGCATGTCAAATTTTGACATGATAGACATTAATTGTTATTACAATACCGTATTAACCAAAACCTAATATGCTGACTGTCTGGGTATTTTGTGTGTATCATAATTTCTTAATATGAACTCGATTTCTGAAAATAATATGAATAACTCCTTTTTTTTTAGTATGTTAGGACCCTGTGTGAATGATTCCTTTATTTAGAAATGATATTCGATTTTTCTTAGTTAGTAGTATTAAATTGTTATTCATCATCACAACATTATTTGTCACTCTATAATAATCACAACCGCAAAGACAATGGAAACATTTTTTTAAAAAAATTATTATATGGAATTTTTAAAAAATGACATGAAATGGATCATAAAAGTCAATCTTTCAACCAAAACCGTTTTAATAAAAAGACCAGTAATGCTAGTTAAACACAATATGAACTTGTGGAAACTCAACATTAACCTCCTGATTTTTTTGACTTAAGTATTAATTAGTTGTGGTTGTATGTCATTTCAATCGTCAACAATTATATATCATCCCTAGCTAGAACTTTGCTTCTTGTTTTTTTTAAAGGTATTATTTTCCATCTGTGGATAAGAAACCTATATAAATTTTGGGGGTGGCCTAAAATTTTCAAGGTGAAGTGGAAGCGAAGAAGACTGCCTACCTCATGAAGTTGATTAACATTCTAATCTTTTCCTTGAACTGAACAATTCAGATAGGAATGTATTAGTGTTTTTTTTTAATTTTTTTTATTGATGTTTTTGATGCTTTACCTGTGTACCAGACATTAGTATCTAAATTCGAAACTTGGAAGCACGTTTGAGAGTTCGGATGGAGACAAAACAACAACATTTTGTTCTTATCCCAACCAACTTTAGTTTCATTTTATTTTTCTCTTCTTGAGGAATCTTCAAGATTTAATTCTTTTTCCCCTCCGACCATCAGTTTATTAATTTAGGTGGTATCTGGTACCAATTAATACACTACTACTGGAGTACTCTTCCGAGTTTTAGATTGAGAGAAGCCACCGACCAGTTGAATTGATGCACGAACTGCTTTCTTTGTTATTAAAATTAGAGGCTAAAACTACGTTACGTCTTATTCTATATTCTCTAAAAAAGTGTTATGTCATTTACAATTATTTCTTCTCTGTTTTATTTCGCAATTATTTTGTAGTCTCTTGATTACAATTTGTTACCCAACCTTCTCCACCACATTGATCTCTGCAGGTTATTCTCTTTTATTATTGGTTTGAATGGACAAAATACTCAAATAACTAATATCAACGTACAAGAGGAATTCTACAATAAAATTTAAAAATTGTAACAAGGAGAAAGAGTGAACTAAATTAAAGTAAGTCAGGCTTCATAAGCAAGCAGGTCCCATGGTCTAGTGGTCAGGACATTGGACTCTGAATCCAGTAACCCGAGTTCAAATCTCGGTGGGACCTAATTTGCCAATCATTTTTTGGGTTTTTTTTGGCACCTTCAGGCTTTCGGGAATTGCTTGAAGCGAAGTTGTCGATTTCCATCATCAGATAAAATGCTTGATACATGATGATTATCAATTAAACCCAACTTTCGAATTTCGACTAATCAGAGGATTCTTTTTGTTAGAAGAAACTAATTCAAGAGTATGGTATTCAAGTCCAACTTCGAGGGCCGAAGGAGCACTACTACCAGCAAGTTCAGGTTTTTTATGCATTCCCACGTCCCCAGGATCTCGCATCCCGCAATAAAATAACCACCGGACTGACTGAAGGTGGTTGGAAGAAGAAAACCATTGAAAACAAGCGAGCGAACACCTTAATAACATGATGGAAAGTCAAAAATCTCTGCTCCGTTTTGCATGAAATTCCGTAAATCAGAAACAGAGTGTTAGGTTCAACGATCTTTGATTACAACTTCAGACATTATGACACAAAAGTAGATACATAAAAGCAGAAAAATCTGGCAGAATCTACCAATCACAGGCTTCATTGGAACTAATTCTAGCTATTACAAAACAGTAGTTGACAAACTGTACAAGAGCTGAAGACAACTATTACAAATCTCTAAAAAACTTTAAAAAGCAAAGCATCAACGACTAGTCCTAGCCGGTAGTAGCAGAAGTTCCTACAAAATTCCAGGTGAAGGCACAGAAGAAAAACCTTGTAACTTTACAAATGAACTTTCTTGTACTGGAAACCAGTTTAGTTGTGGAGGTATAATGCCGAGATGATATAAAAAAGAGCAGTCATGCAGGTATACAGTAAGAAGAGCTGATGGTTGGGGGCAAGACACAGACCAGGTGAGGGCCAGGAGGATTGCAACTTATATTTGCCGCTTCCACATCTGGAAGACCTAGTTTAGGGGGATGGACGTAACCCGGAACCAGCGGCAAGCATAATACTGAAATAACTATCCGTGAACCTATACAAGTACCACTTGAAGTTTTTAGTATGATGCCTGAGGTATCTAATGGATTTGAACAAACCGAGAAAACCACCACGAAAATACCTTGTTTAGTGGAGAGTGTAACATATCCCCTTTTTCTTCCAGCAATCATCCAGTTCTCAGAATTAGCATGTACCTCATACAACACTTCATCCTACATGAAACAGAATATTAGGCATCAAGCATCTCGAAGAAGGGTCTGGCTGGTGTCATATGAAGAACATGTAAAATAGTCGCTAGCCTTCACTTTAAAAAGACAAAAGCACCAAACAAAGGGAATGTCTTAAAAGTAAATTTGCATTCTAAAAAACATTTTTAAATAAGTAAAATCAGAGAAAGTAGAACCTTAAGGTTTTCATTGCTTTCTGAAGCACTATTCTCCCCAAGATCCTTTAACCTCTCAACCCTCCACTTCATGGTGACAAGCTGCCCAACTCGAAGACCAGTTGAAGAAAGAGGTAAGAAACCAACTGCAAGGCAAGGATCCAGCACAGGCCGCTGCAAAACAAGAGTGCTTCTGAACTCCAACTGCCTTACAGCATCATCAGATCCCAGAGCTTCCACATCCATAGGGGTGTGGGCTCCGAGGGCTCTACTACCGGATATTCCATAACATACATTCAGTATGCTATCAGGATGCGATGCCTCTACTTGATCTGTATAAATAAATTCATTAAAACCACAAAACAGATAGTAGGTCTATTTTCCTGAATCAGATTATAGATCTAATTTCAAGAAAAAAATCTTTCAAAATTCCAAGCTTCATATTGCAGTATGCATGACAAAGATATCTCTCAAGGCGATCAGAATGATACCGTACACAGGATTTCCACACATTTTGTTAATCTGATTTGCGAATCACTAAAAATTTCAAGAGATTTTAACTTTATACACTTCATCCAAGAAAAAGCCATTAGCAACAAAGTGTGAGTTAAAATAGAGATGCAGAATTCTAATAAGCAAAACTCTCAGATATTGTAGCCTTCTGGCAAAAGTTGGGGAAAGAACATTGACTCCGTACTTGATTATTCTTCGAAGATTGGTTTATTCTTCAACCACAAAAAGAAACAGCATACCTTTGTTCAATGTATTATCAAGACTTATACTGAACAAAATTGCAGCTCTACATTTTGGAGATATGGTCAGTGGGAAAGAAGCAGAAATAGGTCTAGCATCGCCTTTTGTAGCATGGGCAAAGCCATCTTGAAGATCAAGCCAAGTATCATATATAACCACAGAAGCATTTACTTGTGAATGAAGTATCACCTGTTTGAAACATGGTAAGAATCAAAACCATATGAATTTTTGAGATTCTGGTGAAGTGCATCAACAATCAGATGTGAACTCCAAAAGGCATAGAACTCAAAAGCCCTGACAGCAAGTTCAACCCTTTGACAAATTTGTCCAAGAAACTTCCCATTTCCAAACTGAAGTGGGTTCTATTAACAAACATCAGCTTTTGGATTTTTAATTTTCAGTCCAAAACTATTACATAAGATATTCAATATTAGCAAGTTCCACATTTTTTTGGGTTAATATTTAATCTCAGACAAGAGGCTAATAAAAATACCTAAAAGTTGATAGTTCGTAGGCTCTCAAAAGCATAAATCTATAGACATGGGTACCTATTAAGCTTCAAATTGACTGCTATCAGGGATTAATTTAAGTTACACCAATGCCACTTTGTGTATAAAAGCTATTGCAGCTTAAAGGAGAACTTACTTGGGTGGAAAAATGTGAAGACAAAAAAGCTAACTCAATTTCAAGAAGATTGAGACAAAACATATCCTGAGAAACTATATACCTGCAAAAGCAGAGTACCGTCATTGCATTTATCTGCAACACGAGTACTCACATGGAAAGGCTCTGTAAAGTGTACTGCCAAAGTCCTGAAGAGGTGAAAGCAGTTTCTTTATGAGTTCTTGAAGTTGAGTGAATAAAATTATGAGCAGAGAAATATCCAAGAAAGAGAAATCTGTACTTTTCAAATTTTTGGTTAAGTGAAACGCCAAATTCTAGTTTCAGTGCTATTGTTCGAAGTCCCTCCACCAGACTTGGCCTCTGAGGTACAGCAACACCTAGTAAATTTAGAAACAAAAATCAGCAGAGTCAAGAATAACAAAGTAGAGCATAGTGCATACATTAAACAGTAGTTAGCCATCATTTATACTGGGTAAACCTGCTTGTGTTCCTCTAGCGAGACTTTCACTGAGAGCGCGCACTGGAATCCACAATGTTGAAATTACTTCGCTTGCCCAATCAGGCAACTCAATTTTTCCATCTTGAAGAGTTAATTGCTTGGTTTCAGATGGACCATGGGTCTCGTGATCCTCAGATCCCTCACCTTGACCAAATTCAGATACATTTAGGGATCCATTCTTCTCAATTTCGATCCCATGTCCCTGTTCAATACTCAATCCTGGGCCAGTATCAACATGGAGTTCCGCACCCTTAAGTGGATAGTTTATTGGCTTAATAATTACGCCAAGCCATTGACACTCATTTATAAGCAAAGCAGATGAAACCGCAGCAGCAAGATCAACCAGAGGCCTAGGATTGAACACCTAAAGAAGGAACTAATATCAGATAAATTTAGATACATTAGATTCTTCTTGGATAAAATTTAACACGTCAGGGTCGAAGGTGTCCAATATCATTCATTTTCCAGCAAGGAATTGCCAAGAGTATTATGCTGTATCGCAGATAAAGTACCTTCAAGATAGGCCTAGTGGGTTTCTCGTAACTCATAAAATCATCAGTGTCAGCTGGTCCACCTTTTGAAAAGCTATGCGATCTAAATCTCAGATTACCAATCTGTCCAGTGAGAACCCCTAAAACATAGGATCCTGGTCTCTGTGGAGGTAGGGCTATCATAATCGCATTCCTACCAGGCTTCAAAGTTGTAGCATCAGTGCTCTTCAGTGCCTGCAAAACATAACATAACGTCATGTAACCACACAATGCTATCATCCACTGGAACCAAGGAAATTAGGACTTCAGAGATGAGGATAAGAACCTTAACACCCTCATCGGCACTATTTGTGGCTGTCAAAGTGAGACTGAGAGATTCAAGAGCAATATCATCAGGAAACCCGCTCCAAACTGCCACAGATAGGGTTCCAGGATCCCCATCACACAGCTCCAACGGAGGCCCAGGATTGCTGGAAAATGTTATCAATGAGGATACATCCAGTGGTACAGGGTGCTTCATCTCACTGTGAGCAAGACGAACAACTTCAGACTGGAATGCTTGGCGCTCCTTGGTCAAGAACAATCCTTTGTCCAAGGAGAGCAGTCTCACACACGAGGCCAGGTAGCCAGCTTGATCGTCTAGTATCTTTTGACATTCTGCTAAGTTGGGAAGGACTTCAGCCAACAAATTCTCCCATCCTTCACCCGCGTAAAGTGCGCAAACCTTCTCATACAACTTGGCAGCAAGATCGAAATTCCCAAGTTTATGGTAAACAGCAGCAATCTCTCCATCGAGGACAACTCCATGTCTCTTCCACCATGAACGATGATAATTGTCAGCAGCACCTTTGGACAGTTCCAAATATTTTTGCTGCAAGAGGAAATTTGCAACCACAAAAATTTGGTGATCAATAAAATCTGGAAATATTATCTCCATCATAAACGTTTTCTAAAAGTACTTATCTGAAAATTTCCATCACAAACTCGCCAGAAAGAGAAGTAATAAGCATCCAATGTTGCAACAGTTCTGTATTTTATTTTGCACATGGCAGTAAACTTCATTGAAAAGTTTTATTTACTAAATAAACAAAAACAATACACAATATCATGCGCTCCAGTAACAAAACCCTTTGCCACCCTCAAAATTTGTCTTATACATGCATCAAACCTCTCCATTTACATACCTCAAAATATTCCAGGGAAGATAGAGATTTTCTCAAGTCTGCATCAGATATTGTACTCCTTAACGCATGATCTGCAGCAACATGTATTTCTGCTAGCCTCATAGGGCGATCAATTGTGTTCTCAAAGTTTCCAGGTGAAGAATTTGTTCGCGGCATAGATAGAGCATGTCCTTTTGCCAAAGGGGAGCTGCTGTTGGTCAATTTGAGTGAATGAAAATGAATATAGAAATACAAAACATTTCACTCGAATTTTGTATGTTAAGAAAGAAGCAACAAAAGAGTACGCTTTTTGAATTGGACAAATGAAAGAACCCAGGTTTCAAAACTCCAAACTTTCCTGGGACTGTTAAATATCTGAAGTTAGATTGAAAAAAGCTTTTAAACATACAAACAAATGATATTTAGTTACCCATTTTTTAATTTAGTTCAACTTTATAATGGTAAAGAACTGCTTCCAAGAAGAATAGAAGTGAAAACAAAGCCTTGATCTGGTTAAACTCAAAGATCACCAACACTCAATTACCAAAGACATCAATTGCAAAGTAAAATTGCCCGCAGTCTTGCAGACACAAAAACTAACATGCAATACAATCACAAGTCATAAGCTTCCCTTACCTGTCAATAGCATTTGGTCGGCCATCAAATAGTTCAAACACATTTCCAGCAGAAAGAGAAGCCCTCCTACGATTTGCCTCACGCAGAAGTACAGTTGGTTCAAGGGGTAGTGGTTTCCGCTGGATACCAAAGTGTTTTACCTCTGGGGTTTCTTGAAGAATCACCTGAACACAAAGATTGTGAGATAAGTAACTGGTAACGGAGGCTCAGGTGGGAAAAGTTTGATTTCATTTAGCAATGTTGAAGGATAACATACAAAAGGCAACCTTTCAGATACACAATCAAGGTTTTTTCTACTACAATATATTCTCAGAACACCGAACCTGATTTAACTGGAGCAATTTAAATAATTCATGCACAGTATATTTAATATTTCCAAGTTCAAAATGAAAGGAAAAGGATATCATTATCCATGTTTTTGGAAGGAGAAATACCACGATGATCGATCAAGGCTTAGTCCAATTGTATGACAGAAGATGTTTGAGATAGCCAACAGACCAGATAATATTTCTAAAACCGTAAAATCAGAATGCATGTGGCCATTAGAGATCCTCACTTTTACTTAATTGATTAATTATTTGTCCAAGACTATCAGGACATTCCAATTATACTTGCCATTAACAGAGTGATATTTCTAGATGTACAAACTCTGATCCCTAGACAAAGATAGGTTGAGTTTGACAGAAGTCGTGTTTTTCCATGTAAACTCTCATCTCATGCGTATGAGGGAAGGTCTGGCATGCCTAGAAATCACATATATGCAGGCAAAAAATTCCTAAAACCATTTAAGATCATCATGCCATAGCAAGGTTTTCACTTCTTGGTTTTTATCTGTTACATCACGTAGCCATATAGGTGATTTATCATGCCATGAGAAGAAAGAGCAGGAGGCCACCTAAATGTCTAAATTACCATGAGTGAAAAGGCACCTTTTCTTTTTCAAGAATATCTGATGAAGCATCAGGTGGAAGGGAAGGCCAAACTGCTGGCTTGGGCCATGATAACATGCTCAATGCAGCACTGCTCACATTTGAAACGAAGAAAAAGAAAAAAGAAGAATAAGGAACCAACAAAAAGGAAGGTAAACAGTAATGATTGAGATAGGAATAATGTCATGGCTGTATTCTGTTATTAAAGGAACCATCTTTTCAAAAAACTATTTTGAAACTGCAGCAAGGGAAGTGCCCTAGTAACCTGTTCACAGGACTTCTTGGAATAGCTGACCCATAACCAATGAGATATGCAAGCCGCATGAACTGCAACAAAACATGATTCCATTCAGGAAAAAGAAAAACAAAAAAGAAGAAGAGCAATAGCTTCGACTACAGTAAAATTATAGCGGCTATCTCAAGAAGGGTGAACCAAGAAATCATAAAGTGAGTAGAAGAATTGTAGCTTTAGGCTGTCATGGTACCTTTGTCCGACATAATGAATAAAGATCCCCTTGAACCCGATAAAATTCCTGTTCAATATCAGGTGCCACTAGCCCATCTTCGAAGTGAGAGGAAGTTGCATTAATTAACTCCAAGCAAGCAATTATTACCCAAGCTTCACGCATACAGAAAGGTAGCAATCTCTGGCCAAAGATAAACCGCCAAACAGGCAATGAAAATTTCACCAATGTAAACGACACAAATTGTTACAAGAGAAAATAAACTGAAGGATTTATCCACTACCTCGTGCATAGACAACGCCTTAGAGAAGCTAATAATGAATGAATAACCCCTTGAAGCTACTTCAAATGGACGATTTAGCTTGAAGAGTAGCTGAAATAAGAAGCAACAAACCAAAAACTGTAAATACAACCAATCATCAAATTATGGAAAATAAATAATTATTAAGAGATAACAAGAACCAAAGAATTAAGCGATCTAAGGATACAGACAATACCAACCAAATATCAAAAAGATTTTCCATCCGTGTGAGAGATGAACCCCAAAAACGAAAAACAAAACCCAGATGGAAAGTAATAAAGGTAACTTTTTCTGAGCGACATTACCAGATGCATATGATTCCATTAAAAAAATTTGCCAACCAAAATAAGTTCTCTGAGACTTCGTTGCATACCTTTGCTTGACAGGCAAACAAATACTGCCTAAATTCAAACTCCCGAAAAGAATCATCTTGAAGCATCTGCGTTAATGATTCCTTTCCAGGTTTCAATAATGCAGCTTGATCATCACCATCGTCTATTCCACCAAAGTCCCGCTGTTTCCCTGCCATATTGACTACATGACACAAAGAAAGTGGAAAACTTTTAAGGGTCAAGGCCATGTATGAGAAGAAGTAGAACTAGCCTGGCAAGTTTAAACTTAAGAGACCTCCATTAACAACCAGATTAAATGGTTATGCATAGTTCTTTTTTCAGACAATTGAGATCAATTAAGCAGATTGGTAGCATTACAAACTTGATAGTTGCAAACAGAAGGATGGAGAGTTCAGAAGAAGGGAACAAAGATCGCCATCTTAATGAATTACAAATGAAAAAAGAGCAATCATTTCTGGAAAAGAACGCACTGTCAACTAAAAGTCCAAGTAGAAAATAGAAATAAAGAAGCAACTTGGTAGTAGTAACAAACAAAGAGAGCATGCATTCTGAAATAAAGACAAGCAATAAAATCATTATAGAGCAGGAAAGTTCTTTAAAAGCAATATAATTCCATCTCATCAATGTAACAGCAGATTACAAGGGGAATTACACGTCAGCAGATTATCAATATATTTCATATGTCTTTCAACAGCTGCTTTCAAAGCTTCTTTAGTCATGTTTTCCCCTTAGAATTTTAGACACAGATTCTCTATTTCTCCACACAGCATCGAGGCATCTAAGGCCTCCTCTCCAAATACCCAACCCAAGGTAAGTGTGATTATCTCATTTTCATCTATTGGTTTGATCTCAAAATCTTTCTAATCATTCAGTTCTAAATCCATGTATATACTCTAGCATTAGTTGTCCAAAATCTATCCACAAAGTTTAGCAGGTAATTATAACTCTTTAATAGAAGTTTCTGTTTAATTCCAAATCTACTTTACAGTAGTGGTGTATCATGTATTAACCCATTCCTTAAGGATTGATCCCAATCTTGAAACTTTCCGCTGCACTTCAATCCCATCCCTCATTCATAAAGCAAGACTAAAGCATTCATAATCTGCTTGCAAATCAAGTAACCCTCCTTCAAAAAATATAAGCATGGCTCATGACCAGTGGTTAATTGGGATGACAGGATAGCAAGCAAACAACGGGAACTAAACAACATCGATAACGCCACATCAAATATAACAAGAAGTTAATTTGGAAATAAAGTTGCAATAGATACATATGTCAAGCACCTGTTTCCAAATAACAGAGTTCCAGCTCATCATATTCACGTAGCGAATCCTCATAGAGATGGGCAATTTCAAACATAAACGCCAAGCTTTCCTGTGAATACACACGACATATTCAAAACAAATAAATAATGAAAACTGAACCTCAATCCCCCCCCCCCCCACCCCCAAAAGAAAAAAAGAATAGCTGTTGAGATAATAAAATCCAGGAATAAGTAGCACAATTTAATAATGACATTGTATTGCGCCAAATAGAGATATTCACGTAAAGAAGTGACCTTTATCTTTTACCAATAATTTCACTTTTAGCATTTCCTATGCATTAACAACTACATATTTATCTAAATTTCAGTAAAAAAGTAAACGTCAAAGAATGCTGATGTGCTAGAAACCAGCACCACACACTATGAAGGAGGTAACTTAAGGATTCTACTGCACTATGGCTTTAGATTTGATAAGTCCTAATGTCTTAGCCGAATTTACTGCCTCCTAAAACAGAACCAAGCAGTTCTTGTTACCTAGTCCTTACAGACAACTAACACACAAATGTTTTTCAATGTTAGCAGCCCTTTTACCTTAAGGATGAAAAAGTTGCAGAAATTCCAAACTGGCATAAACCGCTGTTCACTCAGCTTACGAATTTCTTCCTCATAAAAATGGATCCGTCTATCAAGGGTATTTCTTATGCATTCCATGACTTTTGATTCCAGGTCTTCCCAGAAACTTGCATCAGGTCCATGTATATCAAGCTTACAACACCTGAACAAAGAAATGTGAATTGGCTAAGTTTATTGGAGATCTACTCTTATCACTTGAGTTGAAAGAAAAATTGAAAAATCTACAGATAATTGAATTATAGCAAAATGGAATTCTTAATATCAACTCATCTTACCTTTCCCTCTTCTTTGAACTGAAATCAACTTCAAGTTTGGCATATACTTTTTTGGCCATTTTGGTGGCTTGATCATTATGGGCTGGTGCTTTAGACACAAATATAATAAACCACTCCCGCTCATCATTTTGAACAATTAGCTTGAGTCGCGGTTTAAGGATAGTTTTAAACTCGTCAAGATCCTGGGCAAGAGAGCGACTTTCAGCAAACCAAATGGTGAGGTGGAAGACGAACAACAAGGAGAATGAAGAAACTTAATGAATCATAACACATTGAACATAAAACCATGTAGGGAATGAGGGCTCAAAGATTGTCTTCCAAAAAATATTTCCTCTGACAGCTAAAGGGATAGGTCAAGAATCATTAACTTCAAAACATAATGTGAAAATGCAAAGTTCTACTATGGGACATGTTCCAAGTAATTTTTTTAAACCTGTGTGACATTCTGAAGTTAGCTCATTATACCAAAGGTCTCACAACACTAATTGATAGCAAATCTACAACTTTGACACACATTATAGTTCATGCAAAACAGCATAGGTCGAAAGTTTTGGGCCGAGATTACTCAGATTTATTGAGTTGCATGTAACTCAGGCGACAGTACTACTAAGCAGTAAGCAGTAATAATTTAACATAAGAAGAATGTTAGGACACAAAACTGCTACTAAAGATACTCATGACTAGGAAAATAAAGCCACCTCACAAGTGACAAGGACCACGGTAGCGTATGGTTCTCTGAACCAGAACAAAGACTGCTCTTGCGGAAATCGGCTACGAATCCTTGAATCTGTGGTCAATATATACTCAACAGGGAGCTCATCTACAAGCACTGCATTGCGGGTCTTGTTATTCAGAAAAACACTTTTGAACGGCAACCTTTCTTCAAAATCCTGTTTAACTAGGGGCCACAGATCACTAACATCCTCAACTGGAAAAGGAAAAGAGAAACAAAACAAGGTAAATCATGTCAAAACATGTATAGGAATTTAAATATCTGTCAATGAATGAACCAAAAAGTAACGGCTTCAACAGAACAGTTCACGCAGCTTAATTGTGCATGATTGGAGCAAAACAACTCATAACTTCAGGTTCTAACTCCCAAATATGACATAGTCCTTTGGAGTGAAAATATACTGGTGAGTCAAATCGCTTCACTGGCAATGCCAAAATCATAGATGCCGAAGTCCAAGCAAAAAAGCGATTAAGCATTTACAGAGAAATGTACTCATTTTGCTAAAACCGCACCCTGTAATCCTATGATTCATATGGCTTTCGAAAACCTAATACTTGGCACATTAAGCACTTGAAGCGAAAGGAACCCATTCAATTAATCGAAAATCCGCATTTTCTCCAAAGAAGCCCAGTGAATTAGCTAGAGATCGCAACATGAGTAAGTTTATAGCCAAACAAACACAACTGCGAAGCAGCATTCACAATTTGATTCACAGCGAAAAGTCAATTACAACTTCGATCCTACTAACCTACCTCAATACTTCTAGCTAGGGAAAAACACAGGCTGGGAAAATTACTCATTAAACGAGAAAAAAAAAAAGCGAAAATTCAATAACTTGAGAAAGGCGGGGGTGATAAAATCTGATTCATACCGGCAAGAATGATGCGATCGAAGGAGGCTTTGATACTCTGGAACTGAGCTAAGAAGTTGGCCATTAGGGATCAGAAGTGAACATGAATCCTATTCCCCCAAATTGAGAAGTGATCCGTAGTGAGCGAGAATGAAGGGGAAATGGTAGCGACGGGTTGGTGACTTCGTTTGGAGTGTTTTCAGTGAGACATCGTTGGTTTGGGCCTCTGCTCCAATGTCGTCTGAGGCGGTAGATTTGGGTTCTGCCGCCGATCTCGGGAGTGGTGAATTTAGTTTTACTTCCTTAATTACGCTTTCACCCTCCAACATTTTCTCTCTTCTTTTTTTTTTTTTGGTTAATTATCATCTTACCCTTCTTTAAAATCATCTACTATGGAAGAGAAAAATGGCCGATCTATCCAAAGGTTGACATGTGTTATCAATTCTATCATTTTCTTTGTCAGTTAGCCAATATTACCCTAAGCTATCCAACCGTTAGCCGATTTTGTCAAATTAGCCAATTTCCGTTTAAATTGACGAAATTCTGTTAGTTTTAATTACAAAAACACTCTAATAGTTTTAAAAATTATAAAATGACCCCAAAAATTTGTAAAAATAACAAACTATTAAGCATAGTATTTTGATTTTGATGTACAACTACTCATTATGTATTTACAAATTTGCCATTATGTTTGGCTACAAATAGAGAGAAAAATTACACCAAAAATTACATGAATAAAAGCCTTTGCTCCTTTTACTTCTTTCCATATTTTTCTTTTCAAAACATTAATCACTTTCTCTCTCTCCTCCAAAGCCTTATAATTATTTCATAACATTTCAATTAATATAAACTTATTATATATTAAAGTCCTAGTAGAGAAGTTATATAGATTAAATATATCATCTCCTAATAAATATTTTACTAGAACCTTTGCTTGGAACACTGTACTGGACATTAGTTTTCGAACAAATAATTAATTATTTAAAAAATATATGTAAAAATCGGTACTAGTTTTCGTCAAACTTTGATTTTTCCCGAGTTCGACCGAGTTTGACCAGGTTATACAAAATCTGATTTTTTATAAAAATCGGGCCGGTAAGGCTTCCGGTTCTTAGGCTAACTGGTTCGACTGCTCGAGCGTGTCCGGTTTTGAAAACATAGTTTGAAAGTTGAACCTAATCAAAATATACAAATGTATTTTTGAAAATAAGAAAATAAGTCCGTCTCGAAATTATTGTCCAGTTTGGTTTTTCATTTCTAATTCAAATTATAATAAAATTGAAAATGCAATTTAAACAATAATTTTAGAACATAGGGAGTATAAAATTAAAATCATTTGAGATTTCCTCCTCACGTACCATTGTCAACCTCAAAATGGTTAAAAGATCACAAGTAGCTAGTAGCACGAAGACTCTCATGCTGTATGCTTAACCAACCACCCGAACACAGCACAACAACCACTGCACCATATACCTCTTACAGTCTTTACCTAAATTTCGAATGAAAAAGTCCCATTCTTCCCTATACATACTATAAAATGTCAAAAGTAAGAAAAGCAAATGATTAGAGAGCAAGTAAGATTAAAAACATAAAACAATACTCCATTCATCTCACAAAAAGGAAAATACTCTTAATTATTATAAAACTCTCTTTATCCCAAAATTTTTTTTCACATACTTTGAATTTTAAACTCAATATAGACTTTTTTTTAGACACAATTAAGTATATTATAGAGTTTTCTTGACTAAGGGAAAAAAAAACCTAATAGGCTTCTATATAGTTCCATAAACATAGTTTTATTTGGGACGGGGAGAGAGGATTAAGTTACTGTTACTATAAGCCATGAGGTCTTGCAAAGCCGTAGACTTGGCGAAAATTCTATTGTCCTTGTTAAACCTTAATTCAACTCCCCCTCGACGTTGACCACTCACATGACTTGTTAATGTCCAGCGTCAGAAATGGCAGCTGCGACCGAATTAAGTCGCCAAATGCTTTTCATTTTTTCCTCCCAAAGTTCTAAAGGTTTTCAATGTTCTGAGCGATTAGCTTCACAGTTCACACACTACGTACTGTGTCTTCGTTATTTGATGTGGATATATAACAAAACGAAAAGAAAAAAACTGGGTTTGTCAATGAAGAATGAGGGAGATCGCGACTGTTAATTAAACAGTTGTCGATCGTTTACCATAATTTTAGTATTGGTCAAGGATCGATTGCTTATTTTATATATATACACAGCTATAGTCAACCTTTTGGATTTAGATGCCATGAACTTTATTCTAATTTGTACTCCCTCCGTCCCACAAAAATAATTCACGTTTAGTTTTGAGTTTTGAACTATTTTTAATACAAATTTAAAAACTCAATATGGACTATTTTTTTGGGACGGAGGTAATATAATTTTTTAGTGCTATAAATCTCACTCGCGTCACCCAATTAAAACATTAAAGTACATTACTAGTCATCTGAATTGAGTTTCGATGAATCTAACCATGCAGGAGTCGTGTTGCAAATTACTTTAATGTTTTCTTTTCTTTTTTTTTTTTCTTTCAAAATAATATCTCGTTTGACACTGACCAATTGTAATTGATATATATGTTTGTTGAAAAGTATGGTATAGATCATTATTCTTGAAGGTGGATGCTCTGTTAATGAAATTATTTGTATATATTGCACGATGAGGATGTGAATGCATTTTTTTTTCCGTCTCTAGAAAAGTTCAATGGAAACAATTAAAATCCTTAAATTGAATGATTTTATTTTATTATATTTTCTATAAACGGATGATTTAATATTTCAAATTGAAAGATTAACATTAACATGAGTTCATTAGAGTATCATGTGGATTAATCAGTTCTACAATAATTTTAAATGTTATATATCTCAAAAATTCAATTTCAAAAACTGTTTCTTTGGAATCGGATAATCTTTTTTAGGACAAAGTGTGTAGAAATGGAAACATCTACTGAATACATTGATTTATTCATCGTTCAAATCCATAAAAATTTGTACATTATTCATTCAAAAATTTAGTGATCGATGGAAAAAAGTAAATGGTAAACAAGGAATTATTACATGAAATGAAACTTTGAATGTCCTCCCCCATCAAATCACGCTAGTTAGGAGGAAATGGAAGGAATCACATCCTAAAACATTAATCTTACAAAATGTAGTACAATGGAATTATCGTTTACTAACTCCATACAATGAATTGAACAAATTGTTTGTAACTTTTTACTCAGCAGCTAGGGTGGAAAGTTGAAAAGTACCAGTAGGAACCAAGTTAAGATCATTTCTGGGGCCAACAGTCAACCCAAAAATCTCACTCATGTCAAGATCTTCAGGCCTCATTTTTCCAGGAAGTTCCCAATCGAAATGGTACAGAAGCTGTGCGATTGGGAGCTCCATGTTAGGCAAAGCAAATGAAATTCCAGGGCAGATTCTTCTTCCGGCACCAAACGGGATGTACGCAAAGTTCTTCCCTTTGTAATCAATGTCAGAATCCAGGAACCGATCCGGGTTGAACGTGTCTGGATCCGTCCAGTGATTCGGGTCCCTTCCAAGTGCAAATGCATTGATTATGACTCTGGATTTTGCCGGTATTTCGTACCCGTTCAGCACGATCCGCTCTGTGCTTTCTCTGGGGAGTAGTAACGGCGCAGATGGCCGGAATCTCATCGTTTCTTTGATCACTGCCTGCACGTATTTCAGTTCCCGGAGGTGCGATTCGTCGACGTTGCCCTGTGGCCCGCAAACCCTTCTTACTTCTTCTTGTGCTTTTCGGAGTACTTCCGGTTTCTTCATCATTTCAAACATTGCCCATACCACGGTTTTTGATGATGTTTCTCCTCCAGCGCTGAAAACATCCTGAACAATATAGGTTCATTAATTATTTGACGACAAGCAGGTGAGTTTTTGTGTAATAGAGGGATCTTCTCCACTACTAATATAATATATATGCCCTTTTTAATACTATTTCTATCTTAAAAAAACAGTCTTCATCGGAATTTTTGATATGTGATAAACCATTACAAATATCAGATCTTATAATGTGAACAATTTTTCTGGTACAGATGGAGTAACTAAGAACTAGTAAAATTCAAGAGTTTAGAGTACTTACATAAATAGCACCTTTGATGTTGTCGTTTGTGAGTTGATCTCCATATTCTCCCGATCTTTGGATATTCAGCATGACATCGACAAGATCCTCACTCTCTTCATGGTTTCTCCTTGATGGATCCGCATGTTTAACTCGATGCTCCTCCATTATGCTTTCAAGCACTTCGTCAACCTGTTTTTGTATGTCCTCAAGCTTGCCCTTCAATCCCGTAATCCTTTCGAGTATTTTGACGGATGGATAGAGATCGACTATGCTGAAACCTCCCATCAGCTTAATGATCCTCTCCATCAAAACCATGTATTGGTCATGGTATTTGCTCCTCTTACCGAAAGCGGACCTCGCGATGATGCTGTAAGTGAGCGAGTAAATCATTCGGGTAAGATTGATGACGGAACCCTTTTGAGAAGCGATGGTTTTGATCATGCTCATGGTTTCATCTTCGCGAATTGGCCTGAAGGATTGGACGCGCTTCGCGCTGAGGAGCTCCGTGTTGCATATCTTTCGCAGTATCCTCCATGAATTGTTGTGTGGAGCAAAGGCAATGTCCTGGCATTTGTAGTTGAGTACGTAGCTGAAGAGGAAATAAGGCCTGTTGGCGAAGATGACATCGTGATCGTTCATCACCAGTTTCGCGTACTCGGCCGAAGAAACAATCATCGTTGAGACTTCGCCGAGTCTTAAGTGCATCAAAGGACCGTATTGTTTGGCTAAATCAGCAAGGATTCTATGAGGTAAAGGGCCATTAAGTTGATGAAGGTTTCCAATGAGTGGCAGTGCCTTTGGACCTGGAGGTAGATTAGGTTTGGTCTTGCGAACAAGTTTGGTTACTATGATCAAGAAGATGATGAAGCAAGAGAAGGAAATGAAGAGTTCCATTAGTATGCAATATAATTCTTGCTAGAAGAAGCTAATTTTTATTGCAAGAAGATTGAGAAGTGATGATATTGATGAGTGGTTCGTGGGACTAAAAGGGTTTTTATAGATGTGGATATATAGTTACTACCGGACTTTCAATGAAATCACGTCCTTATTTTATGATAGTATAATAAATAAGCAGCCAAGTTGCCACTTTGACTGTTGAACTACTAAAACATTTTCTATTTTCATTTTTTGAACCACGTATATTCCTTACCACGTTTTTTTTTTTTTTTTTCTCATATGTATGTTAACTGTTAGGCAAATACCGGGAAACAAAACAGAAATCGCAATTAGAGATAACGCATTAATATAGAGGCGGTGAGAATATCAGAGATAGTACTCCCTTTATAACAAAATTATTGTCCAATTTGAGATTTCACTTTTAGTACAATTTGAACTAAAATGAAAACTAAACTGGACAATAATTATGGGACTGAAGAAGTACTTCATTAGTACACGTGCATGCACAATATTTCTTTAATAATGGTCTCTGGATATATTGTTATACATGGTTAAATTTGATACTCTTTGTGAACACGCACGTATCACAGTAATGCTCTCTTTCCATAGAAAACAATAATATTATGTATTTAGTATAACAAATAAAACTTTTTCACTCTGGAACGACAGAGTAATGACTATATCATGAATGAAAAATATGACGCAAAAACTAGCTACGTGGAAATTGTTTGAAAATCAGTTTTATAGTTATCATCTTTATTCTCCTTCGTCAAATGTACTACTATAAATACAGACTTTCTTGAATGGATCTGTTGTGGCCGCAATATGCTACCCGGGGAAGTAAAATATATTCGCCCGTTGACTAAGACTAAAGTGCAGGGGAAATAGTAGAAACCTGGATGTGGTTAAATTACTTCGCACTCTAATTTATTTGACAAAGTAAACGACTACTTTTCTAGTTTATTTTTAGGATACCAAAATTCGTGGACTTGTGCGTTTAACGAATGGATTAATTAAAATTTGGACTTGCCTCTAATGTCCTTCTTTGATTGGTAAGTTTGGACCATAACACAAAATTAGTTTCAAAGTTTTTTTTTTTTTTCAATTAGTATCAAAGTCTCAATCCCAAAAAAAAATTAAAAAAAAATCAATGATTTACGAAAAGTTTCAACCAAAAAGGTTGACCCACAAAAAAAAAAAAAAAATTTACCAAAAAAAAAAAAAGAAAAAAAAGAGGTCGTAAGCACTAGAAGGAGGAGTATACACAAGTGTTCAATGATTTTTGACATTTCCTTTCCCCATGTCTCCCCATGTCCTATTTTTCCACCAGTTGGTGATATTTAATCTCATCTTATTGACGTGAGATTAAGTCCAAATAATGCTCCACCTAGTACTCAAATATAGTACTGCTTGTACGAGCTCATAGGTGCTTAGACATTTAAAGATAAAAGTTCCTACTTAATTTTGCTACGAACCGCTATATTTCTTTTTCCAATTTTTTTTTTGCGAATGGATTTTTTTTTTTTTTTTTTAGCCAACAATGAGAATCAAACTCGTGTAGTTGGACTGAAGTAACTGAATTGAATATATGTTAATGCGAGGTAAAGAGTATCGGAACAAAGCGTTGCAGCTAAGATTAAAGATTATTTAATTAGCTGATACATTTTTTTCATTTCTCATTTCAAAGTATTTGATAACAAACAAATTATCCTCTTAATGAACCAAGAAGTTTCTAAATCCTAGTACACAATATTAACAGAAAAAAATGAAAATAATGTTTATTTCTTAATTGTTTGATGAATATAGTACTGTAATCTGTATTTTTATTTCACAATTCCGAAGTGAGTATTAGTTCTTAATTGTATGGCTTGTTAATTATGACTTTATGAGTTTGGGAAGATTCTAAGATGAGTTCAGAATACGTTGCCGTATCCGGGGTGCTCATGTGGAATGAAAAGTTCAGAATTGGAGTTCTGGGTTTCTTCCTTTATTATGATTGTATTACCTTAATATTACTCCTCCGTCTTGAAACGATTTTCAATTTAAATTTTTATTTTGAGTACAACTTCATTCCGGTTCAGAAGAAGTTCATGAAGTGTTTCTTTAGTTTTTTTTTTTTTTGTCTTCTTTTCTTTCTTGCATGTCTTGTTTTCAGTTTGGATGAAGATAGAAAATATCAATAATTGTAATCATCAAAATGTAAATGTTTCAATATTCAAATTTAATTTCCCTCCCCATAGGGAAATTAGCAGTGACACATGTTATATGTCAATGCTTATTGGCACCAAATTTTTATTTTGGCATTATAGATTAGTACCGGCTGACTTGTTATTAATGGTTCTGTTTGGTTTCATTGCATATTGTGAAACTTAGATCACTTAACTAAGTTATACCCCTCCTATCCTAATTATAAAGTACAAATTATTACTACTAAAATTAGTTCAAAATATTTATATCTTATAATTAGGATTAATAGAAATATTGAAGAAGTGGATATAACTATTTACTATTTCAGGAAGAAAGCAGTAATTTTTTTTTTTTTATTACAATAAAGAGAGCTTCACACTTAAGTATTTAGGCGGTTGCAACCATGTCTTAACTCTTGATGGTGAAGTCTCCAACCATTACATTCCCATCGGCCTTTATATAGTTATTAAGGATGGTAAATAATCGATTACAAAGTACTAGATCGATAAGGACAATCTACCGATGGAAACACCGACTCTTATCATTTCATTGCACAATCTTGCTTATAAATTTAACTAAGACATGCACACAAACCCTTCATATTCACAATCCTATTTTCGCTCTTTTTTTCTTTTTCTTTTTTTTTTTACCAACTGAAGTCAATTTTTTCCCCCAACTTAAAGCCAAGAAAAAGACAACCATATTAATCATAACAGTCGCATGCAATTCAAATTGAATAAACTATGACTCCATCTATACTATAGCTAGCATAATAACATACACCATGTCAGAAAAAAAGTTTATAACTTATGAAATTATTTTTCTGAGTGAATGGAGAATATGTTTAGGCTTAGTAGGTCGTATATAAATTAATAATGTTGTTTGGTACTCATACTAAACATTCTCTTGTTCTAGTCATGTCTCCAAAATTTTCTTAATTTGATAAACTCCTTTATTCAACAGGAACAACAACAATATTATTAACAATTCCATAAATGGTTGACTCCCGTCTTGACTTGTAAATGTGGGCGTCACAAATGGCGGCCGGAGGCCACTTGTTTTCGAGTTTAGATAACTCCACGGTGTTGGTCTCTGTCACCCGGTGGTTGTGGCCGTACATCAATCATCACACACGGGAGTCTTTATACGACCATTGTGATTGGAGGATTGCTGAAAAAGCCCTGCTATATAGTAGTACGACGTAAAAGTCTACCGGAAACGAAGTTAATTACTCCCTTTGTTCCAAAATTATTGTCTAGTTTGAGATTTCACTTTTAGCACAATTTACACTAAAAATGAAAACTTAAATTGGACAATAATTACGAGAGGGAGGGAGTGTTACCGAAATTTCATTACATGTGACGCCCTCTTTCTTATTACAGTATTTTTTTTTAACGTGAAAATGACGTAAATATACAACTAAAACTGAGAAATTTTGTAACGTAGTAACTGAATGACGCAGCAGTGATTCAAATTAATTTTATGTGGATAAAGGTTAAAGAAACAGTCAAAGGGAGAGACAGGTGAAATGTTTAGACGACGTTTTAGAACCACGAATGAAAGTGTGGCTGGTATACACTTCTAACTTCTTTTTTTTTTTTGGGGGATAAACTTCTAACTTCTTTCCTTTTCATACAAAAAGAAATAATAACATTTACCTAAAAAGTACCCTAACATATTCAGCAATCATTCCCACTCTCTTATATTTGGCGTCCAAATTAACTTCCAAAAATTTGAACTTCATACAAGTACTAATAATAATACCGTAAGTCCTTACAATTGATGGTCAATAAATTAAAAGTCAGGGGAGAAAAAGAGCAAGAGTTGGAGATAAGGGGAGAATGATGTTTAGCGACTGTTTGATGGGAAGAATTAGTATATACTTGTAGCAGTTAATCATCTTCTTTTTAGTACATCAAGACTATCTACATAATTTTCAAAACGTTTGCTTCAAAATTATCTGTTTTTCATAATTATTTTATACGTACAATCATACATATTGCATCAGTTGCATCGAATATTTGCTAGTGGAAGACCAGCGTATATGTCCAAGAATAAATGGTAGACATTTTTTTTGAAATAAAAAGTTTTTTTCCTAATAATTTTTAAGTGTAATAAATACTTCCCTCTCATATTTAGAGCCAAAAAACATGCAGAATTTTGAACTTCTAAAATAATGATCATAATAACACGTCTTCAAAATCAACTATATATCATCATAAACATTGTTAGAAATTTCATGCCAACAGAGACTTTAACTACCTAACTAGCTTGTATTAGGGGTTCAATTATTTAAGATTTGGATGTTAATAATCCTTCTGTGTTCATTTTTATTTTGGGGGAAAATGAAAAAAAGATGGTAAAACACTGTTTCCGAATCCGAAGAGTAGCTTAATTAGTTTTGCATGTAGAGAATAACTCTCTTTCTTAGAAGGTGTAGAAAGGAGAAAAATTAGCACGATTCATACCGCATCAAGAAAATAGTAGCTTACAATAACTTTTTCTTCTCTGGGTCGTTAAATTAAATTTGCAAATCTCAAATTTCCCCCGATCGAGAATTATTTTTATTTTGTCTTTGCCACCTACACTAATTTTTTGTTTTTTTTTTTCAGTTCTCATTTACACTTGTGTCAATTTGTAACTTATTCATCTGAGAGGACGAATACACACAGACAAATATGGCGCAGGTCTGTTAGTAGTGTTTGTTCATCAAATTATATCCAGCTTTGGTAGGGTAAATTGTTTGTAGTACGTGTTTGTGGTTTAATTTGGTTGGCGTTGAATTGCATATTTTGTGATACAATTGACGACGTGTATTAGAAACGTAAAACTAGAGAAAGATTCAGTGAAGATAGACATTTGAGAGTTTCAAGGGAAAGATTTTGCACAACAGTCGTAACTAAAGAATTTGC